TATCTTAGGGTGAGGGAGGGGCCAGGGCGCTGCCCTGTCTTGGGCTCTCACAGCCAGAGGCAGGGGCTACCCGCAGGGCCCTGGAGGACAGTCCCAGTCCCTGGACTACCTAGAGATACCTGGTCAGCGTTGTCCCTGGGTCTCCCTCCTTGGCTCACGCAGTCCCCTCCACCTGGAGTCTATCCCCACCTCCCATCTCCTTCAAGGCTCAGCACCAAGCAGCCTTATGCTCCCCCCACATCCTCCTGCAAGGTGTTCCCATGGGGGCCTTTGGTCAGTGCTGTCACAGATGCACCACGCATGCTGGGCCCCTGGTGATTCATGGGCAGAACTGGCCCTTTGGTGCACTGTGAGCTCCCAAGGGCAGGGACCACTCTCTGTTCCCCTGTTTCTTCTGGTGCCCATAAAGCTGACTATGACACACATCCCATGAGGAAGAGACGAATGAATGACTGAATGAGTTTGCGTCGATAGGAGAAGACAAGAGATAAATGGGGAATTTGGAGGCAGAAGGGAAAAGTGGCTCATTTTGAAGATATCTCACTCTTGGATTGATGTTTTAGAGAGTATTTTAGGGATTTTAAGCTAGAGTCCCAATGAAGCTCTGAGAATCCTGGGGTGACAGACCCAAAAGTCCTCCCAGCAAAGGAGACTTGTTTAGCTTTCCATGCACCAGATGTCATTCCTCTGTAACTTCTGGGTTTGCTGGTTTGGGTGTGGCCACCTTGTAGGGAAAAATAGCTCCCCTGACAGACCCAAAAGTCCTCCCAGCAAAGGAGACTTGTTTAGCTTTCCATGCACCAGATGTCGTTCCTCTGTTACTTCTGGGTTTGCTGGTTTGGGTGTGGCCACCTTGTAGGGAAAAATAGCTCCCTTGGCCCTTTTGGATGCTTGGGCATCCGGTGAGGAAAGTGGGATTTCTCTGGAGGACAGGCATCCCTGCACGCTCTTTGTTTTCTGGAGTACCATGGCTGACAGCATCATCTAGAAGTTTCCCCACAAACACTGGCTCTGGTGCCTAGTGCTCTGCATAGCTCTATGTTGGGGTGAAATGTTTCAGTCATGCGGAAAAGAACCCAACTTGGACTCCGGGTCCTGAAAGTCCTGCCCTGCCCTACCTCTGTCCAGGAGGTGCTAGAGGAGTGGCTGAACTGTCAGCGGTCCTGGCTCTACCTGGAGCCCATCTTCAGCTCTGAGGACATCAACCGGCAGCTGCCTGTGGAAAGCAAGCGCTACCAGACAATGGAGAGGATCTGGAGGAAGATCATGAAGAATGCCTACGAGAACCGGGAGGCGAGCTCAGTGGGAGTGGGAGGCACAGTTGGGACCACCACGGGCCCTGGTCACATTTTTGGGTGCCTCTTGGTCTCTTCCCTTCCTGAGCAAGAAAGATTGAAGGACAAATCCAAGGCTTCGGTCTTGGCCTGTGTCTTCTGGAGTGGGTTCTCCAGTTTCAGAGATGCTGCTCAGACATTCCACAGTTGATGGTTGTTCTGTTAGAGATCTGCAGTCCACATTAGCATTTTAGAGACCCTGAGAGGTCCTGCAGCAAAGCAAACTCTTAAGCTTTGTTTACCCCTAATTTTTTAATTACCGATTTTTTTTCCCTGTCAATTAGCAGAGCTAATGGATGCAGCCCCTGGCTCAGGGACAATTTTCCTGTCCTCTTCCTTCCCAGGCCCCACTGAGGGTCTCTGGCTGCGTGTGTGCTATCTGGTGAGCCTGCTTTGCTGCCTCCCAGTTGGACCATGCTCACTTCCAGTTTCTCTTCCTGGCCCGGGCCCTGCAGGTGATCCATGTATGTGCTGACCAGAAGCTACTTGACAGTCTGCGGGACTGCAACAAGCTGCTGGACCTCGTGCAGAAGGGCCTCAGCGAGTACCTGGAGACCAAGCGCAGTGCCTTCCCCAGGTGGGCACCACCTGACCCATGCCTACTCTTCAGTGTCTACCCATGAGGCTGGGGTGCCCAGGCTAGAATGCAGGGACGTCGGTAGTGCTGGGGAAGCTGAGGCTCAGAGAGCCTGCCTCACCTGCTTCTTCACGCCTATTTTTCCTGGCAGATTCTACTTCCTGTCAGACGATGAACTGCTAGAGATCTTGTCCCAGACAAAGGACCCAACGGCTGTGCAGCCCCACCTGCGCAAGTGCTTTGAGAACATCGCCCGGGTGGGTAGTTGGAGCTCAGGGCCAGGAGCACTGGGGTACCTTCCCAGGGAGAACATCTCTCCTCTCATGCCAAGCCCTTCCAGCAGGATATAAGGTGGCAAACGAGATTCCTGGTCTTTAGAGACCACACCTGGGGCCTGTGGGAGGGAGGTCATATGAAGAACCTCCAGCTCAGGGTTCTGACCTCATCCAGGGGCTCCCTGTCCCTTTCAGATGCTGAGGTGTTGGCTGAGTTAAGAAACCTATGAGGCCAGAAGGCTTGTGAACCTTCCCCAAGATTCAGACCAAGCCTGGGCTGGGGCTGGGCCACAGCTGGGGACAAGGCAGACCCATCCTGCCCACATGCAGTGGGGGAAGGCCCAGCCAGAGATACTTGGGTGGGGCAGGCCCCCCAGCCCCTCTCAGGTGGACCTCTCTTCCTAAAGTGTAGGGCACTATGGAGTCAGCCCTGGGCTGTGGTGGGCAGGCCCTCTGGGGACACCCAGGGCAACCCCTGCTCTTGCTCCCCCATTGCCCACAGCTGCTGTTCCAGGAGGACCTGGAGATCACACACATGTACTCAGCGGAGGGTGAGGAGGTGCAGTTGTCCTTCTCCATCTACCCCTCCAGCAACGTGGAGGACTGGCTGCAGGAGGTGGAGCACAGCATGAAGGCCAGTGTGCGCAACATCATCGAGAGGGCCATCATGGCCTACCCCACGGTGAGCTGCGCCGCCAGCCCAGCCCATCCCTGTCTGGTCCCCTCTTGGTGCCTCTCTCTGCTTCCACTGCCTGTCCTCAGGCTGCAGCTCCCAGCCAGCCGTGAGATCTCTGGGGGCTCAGGCAGGAATTGGAAAGCTTTCCTTTCTGCACACACTCCAGAAAGTGATACTTGCTCCTAATCATAATCACAATTACTATCATGTTTCGAGTGCTGAGTGTGTGCCAGGCTGGGACCTCACCTGCATTACCTCTCAGCCTCACAACTGGCAGCTGAGCTGTGGGTTAAGCCCCATCCTCCAGAGTCAGTTCAGAGGGGTTTCCTGCCCAGGAGCGTGTGATTTGCAGGTGGCAGAGCCAGAATTTGAACCTAGTGTGTTCCCCGATCCTGCTCCCACACTTTGCTGAAGAAGTGATGATTCTGCTCACCCCTGAGAGGCCTAGAGCCTAATGGCTTTTCTGCTTTTGAGAGACCAGTGGAATTAACAACTTGAGGCTAGAGTTTGAAAGGTCAAAGCACAGACTACATTCAAGGGATGAAGAGGGAGCAGGGTCACGGCTGGCAGCTGCCTGGGTCAGCCCTGCTCATGTTGTCTTCCCAGATGCCCAGGACCCAATGGGTTCTGAACTGGCCTGGCCAGGTGACCATTGCTGGATGCCAGACCTACTGGACCATGGAAGTGGAGGAGGCCCTGGAGGCCAGCAACCTCAGCAGCCAACTGTTCCCACGGCTCTCCCAGCAGGTGGGAACCAAGAGTATCATCATCTGCTCCCCACACCCCCCACATACGCCCCAGGGGAGCCCAGTCCCTCCCGAGCTTTTGAGCCTGGAAGAGGCCTAAGATTGAGTCCAAAGAGCAGAAGGCCAGACACCACTCAAGTGAGTATTTTACAACCAGCCACCAGCAGGAGAGACCAGGGGCCTGAGGGCTCTGAGGCCCTCTCCTGATGGTCAGTGAGGATCCCCCTGTGCCATCCCTCGGGCTGTATTTGCTCTGTGCACCAGCTCTTCATCACACTCCTGCCTCCAGCTCCTCACCAGGCTCCACCTGACCTTTGAAGGCTCAGGTGGTGTCATGCGCTACAGGGAGGCAGATGCCAGGTGTGTGTCTCCATTTTTATTTACTTCCTTCACCCTGCCCAGTCCCTGCTCCTCTCATCCCAGACCACCAGAAATCCCAGGATAGAGGAAGCCCACCCTCTGTGCAAGGGAGGCTTCCTGATCTCTGACAGTGTCCCTACTGCTGCAGCTCAGTGACCTGGTGGCCCTGGTGCGGGGGAAGCTGTCCCACATGCAGCGGGCAGTGCTGTCGGCACTCATCGTCATTGAGGTCCATGCCAAGGATGTGGTGAGCAAGCTGATCCAGGAGCGTGTGGTCAGCGTGAACGACTTCGAATGGATCTCACAGCTGAGGTGTGGGCGTGGGGGCCACCCCAGAGCCAGAGCAGCTGCCAGGAGGGGCCAGGGAGGGATGATAGGCTGGTTCCTGTCCTCCAGGCTCTAGAACAAGTTGGGTAGGGGTGCCTTGATGCCCTCATTCCTGAAAAGAGCCCCCTCTTGGTGACTACATACCCTACCCAGTGGCCCATAGCCCAGGAACACATCTCTCTGCACTGACAGGTACTACTGGGCGAATAACAACCTGTACATCCGTGCCGTGAATGCCGAGTTCATCTATGGCTATGAGTACCTAGGCAACAGCGGGAGGCTAGTGATCACACCCCTCACCGATAGGTAGGGGTCATCCTCAAGCTCTCTCCTACTATGAGACCCCCCCTCCAGCTCCCACTGGCCAGGAGTTAGGGGACCATAGCCACTCCACAATGATCTAGTCCATCAGAGCAGAGGATAGGCTTTGGGTTCAGATCTCAGCTCTGCCTGTCACAGGCTGAGTGACCTTGGGCAGGTGACTCACCCCTACATGCCTCGTTTTCTTCTGAGACCTCCTCAGGGTGGTTATGAGAATTTCATGAGTGATATATGTACAGCTCTTAGTCAATGTGTGGTGTTCAGTAAGCATCTAATGGGTGTGAGCTTTACTATTTTTGTTAGTCAAAGCCTCCTTTAAATGTGCCAGAGGAATTAATCTTGAGAGAAATAATGGGTGAGTCCCTTTATGAAGTAGGCAGTTCTTTTGTGAAGCAGTAGTCATTTCATCTTGCTGCTTATATTTAGTACCAGCTGGATTTTCAAGTTGGATTTTGAGTAAGGGAAGTATGGCCACAGGTCAGCCATTCCAGTGGGTCCCTCAGCAAAGCTCTGCAGGGCTGTGAAATGGGTAGGTGGCCAAGGGCTCCAATCCTGACCCTGGCAGCCAGGGCTGGGCACACCTAGGGCCCTGAGAATGGGGAGGAGTGAGAGCTGCCAATCCACGGGGCCCAAGAAGAGGAGGTTCTCCCGTGTCTCAGGAAATCCCAAGGAAGCGGCAATGCCCAGGACCAGTGTGGCCCATGCCCACCTCCTCTCACCCCTGCAGGTGCTACCTGACCCTGACTGGTGCCCTGCACCTTAAGTTTGGGGGTGCTCCAGCCGGCCCAGCTGGCACAGGGAAAACTGAGACCACCAAAGACTTGGGCAAGGCCTTGGCCATACAGACTGTTGTGTTCAACTGCTCTGACCAGCTCGATTTCATGGCCATGGGCAAGTTCTTCAAGGGCCTGGCCAGGTGAGGCTGAGTATGAGGGTGGCACAGGACAGGGCAGGAAGCCTGAGCTCTTTCGGGAGAGGATTAGGCAAGGGCAGTTCCTAAATAGAGCTTCACAGGATAGGGGAGTATTGGTACTGGATGGGATAACAGGGGTCAAAAGCTCACCCTAGTGGGCACAAAGGTGGGTGGGCTGTGGGATTGTGACTGAGTGGTTGGAGAATGCCACTGAGGGCTTCCTCCCCCACAGAGTCAGAGGGGGCCCTTCAAGGGAGGTGCAAGGTAGGCTCTGAGCACATGTTTCCACCCGATGTTCTGGCCTCGTTTAGTTCAGGGGCCTGGGCCTGCTTTGACGAGTTCAATCGCATCGACATTGAGGTGCTGTCTGTGGTGGCCCAGCAGATCACCACCATCCAGAAGGCACAGCAACAGCGGGTGAGCCTTGGGGACACCACCACACTGATGTGCCATCCCTCATCCCTCCCACTGCACCTACTGTGCCCATGCCACCATGTGGCTCCCCACACTGCAGGGTGAGAAGCAGGCCTGAGGGCCTGCTCTGGCTCCAGCCTCTGTCACTTCACAGGGGACACAGCACAGCCACCCCCCAAACCCCCGCAAAGCTGTCCCTGGAGGGCTTTTGTGGCCGGTCAGGAAGCCCCACGGCCTTACCCCAGTCTGTGGGCAGCCCTCAGGCCAAGCTGTAGTGGATGAGTGTCCCTTCCTACATCCTGACCCTTATGTAAGCCCCAGGCATGGTCCTCTCTCTAGCTTAGTTCAAGTTGTCTAGGGACCTTGTCCTAGGGACAAGAGCTGAGAGGCTGGTCCTAATCAGGGTTGAGCTTGCCCAAATATGGGGACATTCAGTGTCAGAAATTGGGGGTGGAAGGAGTGGGAAGCAGGAGATGTGTGGAGACCTCCGAGGGACTGGAGCTAGGACCTGGGAGGCCATGGGTAGCCACTGGGATATGAGGTCTTGGGCAAGATCCCAAGGGAGGATCCAACCCATGATCAGGGGTCCAGTCCTGGCTGACCAGCTGTGGCCAGGACAGGGGCATCAGCAGGGGACCAGGGAGCCCACTCAGAGGAGGGGACAGGCCTGGGCACCCCCTGCCCCAGGTGAGTTGAGCCCCCACTCCCTACAGGTGGAACGTTTTATGTTTGAGGGTGTCGAGATCCCACTTGTGCCATCCTGTGCAGTGTTTATCACTATGAACCCAGGATACGCTGGCCGCACCGAGCTGCCTGACAATCTAAAGGCAAGTTCAGGCCCAGGGTGACCCAGGAGGCAACAGAGCTCTGGCCTGAACTCAGAGATGCTAAAATACTTGTGCAAGGACACACAGCTGCTTGGACATCAGGGACTGTGAATCCCTATACCAGTCCTCCTGCCCAGGGTCCTGAGGCCCACCCCCCGCCATGGAGGGGAGGCCCCAAGCTTGTCCTGAGGGCACAGGAGAAGTCAGGGCTGCCTATGTGTGTGTGGTTGGGGGCATCTGATGGGAGCTGCTCAGACTGGGCCTGCAGAAGAAATGAGAAGACAGTAGCCAAGAGGGCCATCTCTTGGGAGTTATATGGAGGCAGGTTCAGATTAACATAAAGGACTGTTTCTAATGGCCAGAGTAGCCCAGCCACAGGGTGGGCTTCAACTATGGAAGGCTTGGTGCAGAGGGGGAATCCCAGCAGTAGGTGGGGGAGGGGGCCAGGTGAAGCTGCCTTCTGAGGACCTATAGTCCAGAGTGGGTAGTGCTGTAGCAGGTGAGGTCTGCCTACCAATCACATGTGCACCATGTGTCGCAGGCACTCTTCCGGCCCGTGGCCATGATGGTTCCAGACTATGCCATGATCGCTGAGATCTCCCTCTACTCCTTTGGCTTCAATGAGGCCAATGTACTGGCTAAAAAGATCACAACCACTTTCAAGCTGTCCTCCGAGCAGCTCAGCTCCCAGGTGAGGCCCTGCCCTGACCAGGTTCCAGGGTCTGAGAATGGCTGCCTGTCCCTAGCCTCCAGAGCAGCTCCAGATTCACCTTCTGCTGAGCTCTTGCTGGGGGCCAGGCTCTGTGCTGGGTGCTTTAAAGGCATTATCTTGTCAGCTTCTCCCAACTACCCTGTAAGATAGGAATTACATTCCTGTTTCTCAGCTGAGGACACTCTGAGGTCCTAAGCAGCTAAGAGCCTGGCCAGCCTCATGCAGGGTACAGTGGAGCTGGAGCAGGTGCCAGGAACAGATGCACGCCTGGATAGTTCAGGCCCAGGGGGGTTGATCATTAAGGACCAAGAGCCACACAACCCAAGGCTGGGGAGCAAGTGCACCTGGGCCTCGTAGGGACCAGAGCAGGACAGCCAGGCCGCCAAGGCTCCCAGCACCCTGGGCCTTCTGCTCAGTGTGCTGATCCCAGAGTCTAAGGGCAGGTGGGGTCTGGCCTGGGCACCAGCACTGGTGGATGAGCTTTCTTGTTCAGCTCCATTCTCAGGCAGGTTCCCCCTTTGCAACAGCAGAGATGAATCCCAACTCTGGGCTTACATGCTACCACCGTGGTTTCTCTTTCTTAGTAGTTCCAGAAAAAATCCCTGGTGTCACCCTAATGGGCCTTCTCTGGGTCACCTGCTCATTCATGAACACCAATCATGGTGGCTGGGGGGAACAATACTGCCTTTGTCCAGGTGCAGCCCACCAAAACCAGGAGATACAATCTGTTACCAGAAAAAACAGCAGCAGTCTGCCACAGTGCACCCCTGGGTGCCAGCACTCCCACACACCCTTGTTTCTAATCATCCACTTTGAAAAATGTCAACCCTCATTACAGCAACTATCACACATGGTTCTGGAAATGCACTCAGCCTTTCCCAGGTGGCGATGACCCAAAGTCAAGCCCAGTCTCTTCATGTAGCTCCAAGTCCAAGGTTTCTGGGACATGCTGGTCTATGTGTCAGGTCTAGATGTAGCTCTCATGCTCTGGCACCATGGGGCAAAATGATGAATTTGACTATTTCCAACACACCCATTATGTAATAGAAACAGAACCAGTGGGAAAAGCCATCTGGAGAGATATTACAGAAGACTTTTAGAAGGAAGCTCAAGGACCATCAAGGCCCACCCGTTCGTTGCACAGATGGGAAATTCCTTCATTCGTTTTTTTTCAGCACAGCCTGAGCACCTCCCTGCCCTTAGCTTGTGCTGGGACTGCAGGGATTTAACAATGACCAAGGAAGAGTCATACGGGGGATGCAGAATAGGTAACCCGATAAAGGGAGAGGGCCGCTGGGATGGTGAAGTAGAGGGTGCCAGAGGAACCTGAAGGAGGGGCACCTGGCTCAGGCTGGGGCATTGCAGGTAGTTACAGAGGGCCCGTAGGGGAAGTGACATTTCAGCTGCGAGCTGGGTGAAGAGGCATGGCCAGGTACCAGGTGGGAAGCAGAATGGTCCAGACAGAAGCCTTGAGAGGGACAGTGCCCACCCATGCCTAATCCTGTTTTGTGGTGACAGGATCACTATGACTTCGGGATGAGAGCTGTGAAGACTGTGATCTCAGCTGCTGGGAACCTCAAGCGAGAAAACCCCAGCATGAATGAGGTGAGTTCCATCCAGAGAGGCTCCCAGGGAGTAGGACTCCAGCAGGGCTCTGGAGCAACTGGAAGGGTGTCTGGCCAGCCACCCTGAAGGCTCTGCTGGCACCTGCCGCAGGAGCTGATCTGCCTCCGCGCCATTCGAGATGTGAATGTGCCTAAGTTCCTGCAGGAGGACCTCAAGCTCTTCTCTGGGATAGTGTCTGACCTGTTCCCCACCATTAAGGAGGAGGAAATTGACTATGGTATCCTGGACAAGGCCATCCGCAAGGCCTGTGAGAAGAACAACCTCAAGGATGTGGAGGGTGAGCTGTCGGCCCCTGATTCCCTACAGTTCGGCAGGTGTCTGAAGTGGGGCTGGCTCCAGCCACCCTGGAGTCCAGGGCAGGAGGACAGACAGGGCAGTCCAGTCTTGGGGTCCCTCACTCCTGGCCAAGTGTGCTGTGGGCTGGGGCTCTCAGCTGAGCCGTCCAGGGGCAGGGCAGGTGTCCCTGGCCTGTCTCCACTGGAACCTCCCAGATGATGGGAATACAGGTGCTGTCCCCTTCATGAGACCTCATGATTTAGGCCTTCTTCCGCATGTGAGGAGCAGTCACAGCCCTTGGTTCCCTCTCTGCCTTGCTTCATCAGGCGCTGGCTCCTTGCTGATAAAGGCTCCTCCACCCCATCCTCACCTGCTTGGGGTGGGAATGGAGCTTCGATTCCATGTTCCATGCATCCCACCCCACCTTACCACAGCCACCAATCCCCTCTTCTGAGGGCCACTTGGGCTCTGTCCCACCAGTGGAACTTGCTCGTGCTCCTTGTGGAGTGACAGCCTTGGTGTCATTGCAAGATGGAGCATTTGGGCCCTTTTTAAAGTGGCTTATTATAAAAGCCAGTATGTGGCTAGAAGGGCTGTGGGGGATGCTGCCCTCAAATAGACTCTCTCTGACCCTAAACCCTCCTCCCTGATAGTAGGGTAGCCCAGCCACATGTCCATGAAGCTTGAGTTCTCATCCCCATCCTCCCCTGGCCTGGCTACCCCCTCCCAGACTCTTCCAGCCAGTCCTTGGGGTGGAGGGATGCTCCTCCAAGAGTCATACCTGTCCACCTTGGCCACACAGGGCCCTCCTCTGGGCCTGAGCAGTTAACGTGCTCATGCTCAGCCCTGCAAGGCCTCTCCCCTGCTGCACTCCATTGCTCTTCAGTTCCATGTGCAGCTCTACCACTTCCTTCTCTGGCCACCTCCTGTGCTCCAGGCACCAGCAGGCTTGTTGAACGAAGCCTCTAACTCCTTTCTCCCTCACAGCCTTGGGTCAGCTTTGCCATCATTGGCTAATTGACACTATTTCTGTGGCAAGGACTCCCAGTCTGGCAGTGGCATTGCCACCACCACCACCCCTTGGGCCAAAGCCATGTGCTCATTCCCTACCCATGTGGGCCCGGCCCTATAGCTCCTGACTGACGCTAAGATTCTGCCTCATGTTGACCAGCACTTACCTGGGGTGGTGATCTCAGCAGGCCGTGTAGTAGCTTTGGGACTGAATTTGGCTGTAGTGCCTGTAACAGCCGACACTGTGTGGGCCTGACTGCTGACCACCTGGCCGATGGATGTTAGGGAATAATAGTCACAGTGCAAATAATGGTTGGCATTTGTACAGTTCCTACTCCGTGCCAGGCTCTGGGCTTAGGAATTCATTGCCCCCACCTATGAGGTAGGTGCTACCACCATCCTCATTTTATAGATGAGAAAACTGAGGCTGAGGGAGTGAAGTGACCTACCTGGGGTCATACAAGCTAGTGGCGTAGCCAGGACCCATGCCCGTGCTCTGACTCCTGGGTTCCTCTGTCATGTCCCCCAGGCTTCCTGACCAAGTGCATCCAGCTCTATGAGACCACAGTGGTGCGGCATGGCCTCATGCTTGTCGGGCCCACAGGCTCCGGCAAGAGTAACGTAAGTGGGGCCAAGCCAGGCAGCCAGTGCGCAGACCGTGGGCCTGAGGGTGGCGCAGCTGCAATAGGGGTGTTGGCCTCCATTTGTACCCCTTTGGCCTCTAGAATACCCCTCCCATTTACCGTGGTCCCCAGACCAATCCAGTCCTGCTCTCCATGGGGCCAGGAGGCTCACTGTTGGGCGGCCCATTTCCCCAGTGCTACAGAGTCCTGGCAGCTGCCATGACGTCGCTGAAAGGGCAGCCGTCCATCAGTGGCGGTGTGTATGAGGCCGTCAACTACTATGTGCTCAACCCCAAGTCCATCACGATGGGACAGCTGTACGGGGAGTTTGACCTGCTCACCCACGAGTGGTGAGTGGCACCCCCATCCCTCCGGTGACCACCCTGCTCCCAGACCTCTGGAGGCTGTGGGCCATGGGCCTTCTTCTCTCTACCTTAGCCTAGTGGAAGGTTGGGAACTCAGACTCTGCAGCTCAAAGCTGTGATTCTATCCACCACTCCACTTCCTCTCTGTTTCTCCAGAGAAGAGTCTTCAGTCTCCTGCTGGGGGTGTCTGCTTGGCTCCAGTGTTCTGGGAGCCCATTGGGGATGGGCACTGGGGAGGGAGAGTCATCCATCTTACCCAGTGTGGGCCTATACTGCTTGCCCCACTTCTGGTGAAGGACTGCACCCACATCCACTCCAGGCTCTTATGTGGGTAGGTGGGAAGCCTGGGAGTTAAACCAGAAAATGTCCTCTGTTAAATACAACGTTATTCAGTGATACTTGTTAAAGCATGGTAAGGTAGACTTTATTCAGGACCATAATGACAGGTATAGGGACGACTGCAACAGGGTCTTGCAGTGGGGGAGAGAGATTGGGGCTCGACTATGAATACTGCATGGGCAAGTGAGAATTTATAGCCAAGGAGCAGTGTGGGGGTCAATGGATGGAAAATTACTGAGGAAACATTGGAGTAAGAGGGATTCTGGCTAAACCCATCTAATAGGATTCTTGCTGAAGACGGGCCAGGGTGATCAGACATCGCCTGGGGATGGTGAAGGATGAGGAACCTGACCAGATATCAAGGGTGATCAGTTATCAAGGGTGGGGGTTCTTGCTAAACTGACTTAGCAGGATTCTTTTTTTTTTTCTCTCTGTGATGTTTATTTATTCATTTATTTATTTATGTATTTATTTATTATTTTAACTTCTCAATATACATTGTGGTTGATTTTCATGACCCTTTACAGGTTCCTCTTTCCCCCTCTCTCCCTCCCCTCCCCTCCCCGCTACATCATGTCTGTTCACTTGTCTCAACAAGTTCAAGGAATTGTTGTGATTGTTGTTTCTTCTCTGCCCCCCAAATGAAGGATGATTCTATAATAACATTACTTTTAAAACTAAGGACAGAATCTTTAGTTTAGTTAGTTAATTCATTCACTCCTTCAATAAACATTGGTTGAAAGCCTATTACACGTCTGTCTCTGCACATATATCGATAGATAAAACTCACCCATCCCTCAAAGGGAGGCAGAAATGTAAATTAAAATTTACAATACAATGAAATCTTTCTTACTCAGTGTTCCTGTAACTTTTTTTTTTTTTTTAATTTTTTATTTTGTCAATATACAATGTATATGATTATTATGGCCCTTCACCGACACCTCCCGCCCTCCTCCCTCTCTCCCATTCCCCCAAGAATGTCCTTTCCGTTTGTTTGTTGTAACAACTACAAAAAAAGTATAGTTGTTATATCTTCTTCCCCACCCCACCCCCGGTATTTTTTGGTGTGTTTTTGGGTAAATTAATTTGTTTATTTTTTTAGCTCCCACCAATAAGTGAGAACATGTGGTATTTCTTTTTCTCTGCCTGACTCGTTTCACTCAATATTATTCTCTCAAGGTCCATCCATGTTGTTGCAAATGGCAGTATTTCATTCGTTTTTATAGCTGAGTAGTATTCCATTGTGTAGATATACCACATTTTCCGTATCCACTCATCTGATGATGGACATTTGGGCTGATTCCAGCTCTTGGCTATTGTAAAGAGTGCTGTAATAAACACTGGAGTGCAGTTATTCCTTCGTCGTGATGATTTCCATTGCTCTGGGTATATTCCCAGCAGTGGGATAGCTGGGTCATATGGTAGATCTATCTGCAACTGTTTGAGGAACCTCCATACCATTTTCCATAGAGGCTGCACCATGTTGCATTCCCACCAACAATGTATGAGAGTTCCTTTTTCTCCGCAACCTCGCCAGCATTTATCGTTCAGAGTCTTTTGGATTTTAGCCATCCTAACTGGGGTGAGATGGTATCTCAGTGTAGTTTTGATTTGCATTTCCCAGATGCTGAGTGATTTTGAGCATTTTTTCATGTGTCTACTGGGCATTCGTTATGTCTTCCTTTGAGAAATGCCTATTCAGCTCCTTTGCCCATTTTTTAATTGGGTTATTTGTTTTTTTTCTGTAAAGTTGTTTGAGTTCCTTGTATATTCTGGATATTAATCCTTTGTCAGATGTATATTTTGCAAATATTTTCTCCTATGCTTTGGGGGTCATATTCATGAAGTCTGTACCCACTCCTACTTCCTGGAGTGTTTCTCCTGTTTTCTTTAAGAAGTTTTATTGTTTCAGGATGTATAGTTAATTCTTTAATCCATTTTGAGTTGATTTTGGTATATGGTGAGAGGTATGAGTCTAGTTTCATTCTCCTACATATGGATATCCTGTTTTCCCAGCACCATTTGCTGAAGAGGCGGTTTCTTCCCCACTGTGTAGACGTGGTGACTTTGTCAAAGATCAGATGGCTGTAGGTGTATGGGTTGATTTCTGGGTTCTCTATTCTATTCTGTTGATCTGTGTGTCTGTTTTTATGCCAGTACCATGCTGTTTCTGGTTATTATAGCTTTGTAGTATAGTTTAAAGTCAGGTAGTGTTATGCCTCCAGCTTTTTTTTTTGCTCAGCATTGCTTTGGCTATGCGTAGTCTTTTGTTATTCTATATAAATGTCTGGGGCTGGCCCGGTGGAGCACTGGATAGTGCGCCGCTTGGGAAGCACGGCGGTGCTCCCGCCTGAGGGTTCAGATCCCACACAAGATACAATGGACAAAGTGGCCCTGATCCTTTATGGGGCTTGGGGAAGTCTGTCCCAGAATGCTTTTTTTTCTTTTTTTTGGTGGCTGGGCGGTACAGGGATTGAACCTCGGACTTTGGTGTTATCAGCACCATGCTCTAACCAACTGAGCTAACCAGCCAGCCCCATCCCAGGATGCTATCTCCCCTGCCAGTACACCTCCCACCAAATATACACTCTGACCTTTGAACTCCACTTGGCACTGTGCCAGGTGGTAAATAATAGAAGCTAGGCCTTCCCTCCTCTGGCCTGGCTGTAAGCCAGGACTTGCCTCATGTCCAGCTTGGGGGTGGGGAGGTGGTCAGTAGCTGCTTTGGGAACTTCCCAGCCAGGCACAATTGGCCAAGGTGTGGGCAGCAAGAGGTCCACCTAATTCTGAGCCCCCTGTCTCTCCTTCAACCCTCCAGATGGACTCCTTGGAGAAAAAAGTTACCAGGAGCCTGTGCGTAAGTGCAGGCCTGGGAGGGCTGGATGGGAAGGGGTACTATTTCCAGGGTGAGCCCTGGGCTCTGGTTGGGTGTGCTGAGGGTGGGACCTTGGGCTACTGGGTGCCAGAGCAAAGGTATGGACGTAATAACTTCGTATAGCATACATTTTAACTTTATTCCTAAGTATTTTATTTTTTTGGTGGCTATTGTAAATGGGCAAGCTTTCTTTATTTCTTTTTCTGCATGTTCACTGTTGGTGTATAGAAATGCTACTGACTTTTGTGTGTTGATTTTGTATCCTGCAACTTTGCTGAAATCATTTACCAACTCTAAGAGTTCTTTTTGTAGAGGCTTTAGGGTGTTCAATATATAGGATCATATCAAGCATTATTCTTTTTTATTTTTTTTAAATGAGTAGTGAGGAGATCTTAACCCTCGACTTGGTGGTGCCAGCATCATGCTCTCCCAAGTGGGCTAACCGGCCATCCCTATATAGGGATTAGAACCTGTGGCCTTGGTTTTATCAGCACCACACTGTCCCAAGTGATCCACGGGCCGGCCCTAGGATTCTTTTCTAAAACTGAATTTTATAAGGAAGTGCACAGATAGGCCTAGGAGAAGGTTCAGTAGTCTGAGTACATTTTCGCCAAGCAGAGAATCTGTGTCACCCTTTTACCACCATCCCTGGCATGTGGTGCCTCTAACATCTGAGCCTTCCTGGGTTCTGTGGCAGGACCTGGCCCTTCTCACGAGCCTGCTTTCTCTGCTGTGTCCTGCCCCTTCTCCATCCCTTTCTCCATTTCTTTCTGTTCTCTCCCATTTCCCTTTTCCTGTTGAGATGTCACCGTTTATCTTCTTTTAATGTGACTTCAGTGGGGATTCAGCAGGGAGATCATATGAGCATGTGTTTTTATTATACCATGTCACACCAACAAGTTCCATTTTTCCCATTACAATTTTTAAGTTAATGAAGACATTGAAGGGAAAAAAAGAAACAGAGCAGGGCCAGCCCAGTGGCCAGGTTTCCCTGGGAGCCTGCTGTCCTTGCTCCCTGCCCCCCTGGCACCTATAGCCCTCTCTTCTCTGGTGGCTGCAGGACAGACGGAATTTTCTCCTCCCTCATCCGGGCGGATGCCATCACCTCTGACACCAACAAGAAGTGGTACATGTTCGATGGGCCTGTGGATGCCGTCTGGATTGAGAACATGAACACAGTGCTGGACGACAACAAGAAGTTGTGCCTCAGCTCTGGGGAGATCATCAAACTCACAGAGGTGCTCCCACTCATCTGCCCACCCACTCTCCTCCGTGGCTGGGTGGGCCCAGAGGCCACACCACGCTGACCCAGCCTTGTCCCCCTCTACCCCTCTCTTGGGACCATGGCTGCGTCCCAGGCCATCAATACAACCAAGCCCAGGAACCCTCCAGCTGGCAGGAGCTCGGGCTCAGCACCCAGTGCTCCTCCCTGGCCCAACCTCCTACACCTCAGTATGTCCCATGAACCTGCTCAGTGTGACATTTCTGCAGACCCACTCTCTGTGATACACTGAGCCCAGGGCCAGGACAACCACCCAACTCCCCAGTGTGTCCTGCCTCCTGCCTCCCAGGCCCACCTTCAGCCATGTGGGCCTAGTCTGGGTCAGGTGTCCACTCAGTCTTGGCAATGTGCCCAGGGTCTGAGGGATGGGTAATACAGACCTGGCCACAGGGACCTGCCTGATGTGTGAGGGGCAGTTCTCAGAGAAAGAGGGGTATGGCCTGGGCATGAGAGAAGTTTATGGTGCCTACCCTAAGCCGAGCTCTTGAGTCCTGAGAACACCTGGCAGTGAATGTGAATCTGTGTCCATGTGCATGGGGGACAGGATGGGGACTCTAGAGCAGAGCAAACAGTTCAGATTTCCCTGGGCCTCCAGGAACCCTAAAATGCCCTGACCCCAGGCTGGCCAGAAAATCCCAGGAATCTCATGACTTTGGTTGTTCCCCAGGGCTCCAGGGAGGGTCACATTATCAGCTAAGGGCCCAGGGGTTCCTGCACCCCCACTCCCAGCATTGTCCCTGCCCACAACTCTCACTTGCAAGATGGGCAGCCCTTCCCCATGGCCCTGCAGCCCTTCTCCGGCCCTGGGGACTGGCAGCCAGCCCACTCATGCATTTCATCTTGGCACCAGGCGATGACCATGATGTTCGAGGTACAGGACCTGGCAGTGGCCTCACCAGCCACAGTATCCCGCTGTGGCATGGTGTACCTGGAGCCCAGCATCCTGGGGCTCATGCCCTTCGTTGAGTGCTGGCTGAAGAAGCTCCCCACCTTGCTGAAGCCCTATGAGGAGCATTTCAAGACTCTCTTTGTCAGCTTCCTGGAGGTAAGCCATGCCATGGGTATGCCCAGCCCAGGTGGGACAGCAGGGCACTGTGGCCACCAGCCATGACAGCTGGGTGCTCACTCCCTGCAGGAATCCATCACCTTTGTTCGATCCTCGGTGAAGGAGGTGATCGCCTCAACCAACAGCAACCTGATCACGAGCCTCCTCAAGCTGCTTGACTGCTTCTTCAAGCCCTTTCTGCCTAGAGAGGTAAAGCCCTGAACAGTGGGGCTGGATGCCTGGATCCTCCTGCCCTGCTGCTCTCCTTGCCAGGCCTTTGAGGACCTGAATCCCAAGTCCAGCTTCCTGGAAGAGAGAGTTGGATTCGCTTGACATGGGTCATGGACCACCCTGACATGGGTCATGGAACCACTCTGCTGTAGGGAAACAAAGCAATGTGGCAGAGGCCAAGACATGTCCTGTCCCACTTCCTCAGGCTGCCCAGTATTATCCCTGCCTTAGCCCGATGCTGTGCCTTCTTTCCTTAGGGCCTCAGGAAAGTACCCCCTGAAAAGCTGAGTCGCATCCCAGAGCTGATCGAGCCCTGGTTCATCTTTTCCCTGATCTGGAGTGTGGGTGCCACTGGGGACAGCAAAGGTCGCCTCAGCTTCAGCCACTGGCTAAGGATCAAGATGACAACCGAGAAGGTGAGTCGGCAGCTCCCAGACCCCCAGGGACCAGTGGCCACACCAGCCTCCTGAACCTCACGGCCTGATTTTCCTCCTGGTCCCTGGCAGCTGACTCTGCATTTCCCAGAAGAGGGGCTGGTGTTTGATTACAGGCTGGAGGACGCAGGGATCAGCAACACCAACGAGGAGGATGAGGATGAGGAGGAGAGCAAGCAGGTGGCCACAGACCCACTCAGGGCATGGGACAGGGAGGGTCCCACTGGGTGTTGGCTTTTCTCCTCGATGACAGTGACCACAGAGAGGAGGTTATGTTGACGATCCCCAGGACTCAGGCTGGGGGTTATTCCCATCACCTCATGAATCCTCACAGACACATGGGGTGGTCATTATTTTGCCCATTTTCCAGACAAGGAAATTGAGGCTCAGAATAGTCACACCCAGTTAGTCAGTGGCAGAGTTATCCTTGAACCTGGGGCTGGGAGACGTCAGAGTGCCTAAGCCCCCAGCCATACTCACTGCTGCCTCTGTGGTGGTGTTGAGCCCGGGGACTGGCTGCCTCAGTTCTACTTAAAAGCCGCACTTGCCTAGTCCTCCCTCATGGCCTGCCTCAGTGTCCCCATCAGTACGATCAACCAGCGAAGGCTCCATGAGCCTGCCCTTATTCCAGGGTCAGGACCCCAGCCCAGGAGGAGGCTAGAGAGGGATCTGTAGAGACCTGACAGTCACTTTGCTGGGTCCTGCTGGGGGCTTATAAGGAATATTTGGGCCTAACGGTCAGAATTGTCCCCAGAAGGACATGTTGGTTTGGCCATAGTGAGACCCCATCAAGGGAAGTCTGCAGTCTGGGTCAAGGCTGTGGGTAAAGGATTCATACAGCAGGGGAGACTGGGTCAGGTGGCCTCTCAGCATCCAGCTGACACCAGTGCCCGTGGTTCTGGTTCCTACAGTACTTTGATAACCTGGAACTAAACTGCAAAAACCTTTGCATTCTGGGTTGTTTGATTCCCAAAGCACCTCCTTCATGCAGAGACCTGGGACTGGTAGTCCGTAGGGAGCCCCTGACCTGGATGGCTGTGTGCAGGGAGTCCCCACCTGGGAAGCTGTGTTCAGAGAGCCTCCCATTCCCAGTGATTTGTACCGGCAGTCCCCCACCCTGTGCGGAGAGCTGGGCACAAGACTTGCTAGTTCTTTCCAAAGTAGCATCTCACCTGGACCCTCTTGCCAAGGCCCAGCAGTGCAGCTCCTTGCCCTCCTGCTGCACTTGGCAGCAAGGCTGCAGCCAGGAGTGGGGTGGGGCAGGGTTCCAGTCCCAGCCCTGAGCCACCTGTGGTTCCAGGTTGCCTGGGTGAAGTGGATGGACTCCTCAGCTACATTCACCATGATACCAGACACCAACTACTGCAACATCATTGTGCCCACTGTGAACACTATGCAGATGTCCTACCTGCTGGGCATGCTGCTCACCAACAACAAGCCCGTGAGTGCCCCTACCTTACCCTGCCTCAGCCCACCCCATCTCCCAGGCTGGGGGTCAGCTAGCCTCCCACACTGACAAGGCAGCAGCTCCTGTGCGCCGAGCCCTGTGTTCATTCCACCTGCATGATCTCTGCTCTCCCAGGTGCTGTGTATTGGGCCGACGGGCACAGGGAAGACACTCACCATCTCTGACAAGCTCCTTAAGAACTTGCCCCTGGAGTACATTAGCCACTTCCTAACCTTCTCAGCCCGCACTTCAGCCAACCAGACCCAGGACCTCATCGACAGCAAGATGGACAAGAGGCAGGGCACCCCTCATTCCTTCCTTGGCCCCAGTGTCTCCCCAGCCTGGCTGAACCAGCTGCTGTCTCACCTACCCACCAAATTATGCTCCCATATTTGCCAGAAACCTCCCAGGGAGAGCTGGTAGCTCCCCAAGGGGAGGCTGGGTTCCCTTGCAAACTGCTCCAAAGCCTTTCCTCCACCAAGAATTCCCACAGAGATTTTCAGTGGGTGCTTGCCTTGGGCTGGGCACTTGGGCGGGGCTGTGGGTCTGTCTTTAAGATGTGTGTTATCCATATGCCTGGGTAGGCGAGACTCTCCTTAAGGGAGTTCAGACTCAGGTCTGCCAGTCTGTGTGATGTCCCAGGATGCTCAGAACAAGAAAGAGAGCAGGTCAAGAGGTCTAGTAATTTGGAGGAGGCTGAAATTTAGTGACAGTTTCGCAGAGGCAGGGCTGCTATCCTGTTGCCCCTGGATTCTCAGGGGACCTGGTGACTGTGGGTGGACTCACACGGCCCTTCCCCACAGGCGGAAGGGTGTGTTTGGGCCTCCCCTGGGGCGCAACTTCATCTTCTTCATTGATGACCTGAACATGCCAGCCCTGGAGACGTATGGTGCACAGCCGCCCATTGAGCTGCTGCGCCAGTTCATGGACCATGGCGGCTGGTATGACCGCAAGAGCATCGGTGCGTGCTGCCAGCCTGGGCTAGCAGAGCGCGGGCTGGGTGTGCTGAGCAGGGGTATAGTAGGCATAGAGCCGAAAGCCCATGGTACTTTTAGGGGCCCATGAAAATGCTTTAATTTCTCTTAAAATTGGGGGGAAATGAACTTTTAGGTCAAATAAAAAAATTTTTTTTTCCTTTTTGTCTTTTTTACTGACCGGTAACAGGATCGCAACCCTCGGTGTTGCGCCCACACCGCGCTCAGCCAGTGAGCGGGAACCGGTCTCCACATGGGATCCGAACCCTCAGCGGGAGCGCCGCCACACTCCCAAGCGGCGCACTCTCCAGTGCACCACCGGGCCGGCCCTCAAATAAAAATTTTAATAAATAATATTAATATATTTGTCTTTATAGCTGGATGGGAAGGGGTACTATTTCCAGGGTGAGCCCTGGGCTCTGGTTGGGTGTGCTGAGGGTGGGACCTTGGGCTACTGGGTGCCAGAGCAAAGGTATGGACTGCCTTCATTGGCTCATTCACCCATTCTTATTGCCTGTTAGTCCTTTGGTGCCTGGGTGAGTGTCCAACTGATAGTAGATGCAAAGTTAATGCAAGGTGAATGGATGAATAAAGGAATCCGACAAACTCCCACTTGTGTGAAGAACCCCAGCTCAATGAGAGCCAGCCTCTGCAGAGGCGGGCATACGCAGGAGAGTCAGGCAAGATTTGTAGCTGGGGGACAGGCGTCCTTGTATGGCAGCCCCATGCGGGTCTGTTGGTCATCATGGCCTCTGGCCACTTGGGTCTCTGTCCTCTTTTGTCTCGTGGCCCTTTCTTTTCTCTTGATACTGGGAGTGGACTTCCTGCTCTAGAACGAGGCCAAGCCCTCCCCTTGGGCCTGCCTGAGGATGTGCCTCCCCCAACAGCAGCACTCCTTCCTGCAGTGGGCCATTCCAGCAGCACACACACATGCCCTGGTTTCTCCCACCATAACAACAAAAACACGAAATAGCCCCCCTTGGGCCCCTGCCCGCCCAACCTGGGCCATCACCCCATTTCTTTGCTCTCCTTGATAGCAAAACTCAAAAGCATGTCTCCTCCCGCTGCCACTAGCTCTCCCCTCCCACTTTCCTTGAGTGTGTTCTTGTCACCAGTGGCCTTGTGTGGCCAGACCAGTGGTCAGCTCTCGGTCCTCATCTTCCCCAGGTGTCAGCAGTGCTGACCTGGCTCACGGCCCCTCCTTCCTGCAGCATGCCTGTCAGGCCCTCCCCCTCCCTGGCTGCCCTTTCCCTTCTCGGATTGACTGGAGCTTGGTCTCCAGCCTCTTCTCTCTCCAACTACACTCTCCTGAGACAATCTCATCCTGCTTCTGGTAGTAAAAACCATCTTTGTGCTGACAACACCCTCTGCCCTTTCCCTTCTCGGATTGACTGGAGCTTGGTCTCCAGCCTCTTCTCTCTCCAACTACGCTCTCCTGAGACAATCTCATCCTGCTTCTGGTAGTAAAAACCATCTTTGTGCTGACAACACCCTAGTTCAAGTCCTCAGCCCAGACCTCTCCCCTGAATGCCTGGCTCCACATCTTCAGGATGTCTACGGGGCATCTCAGACTGAAGCTGTCCATACCCAAACTCCTGGATGCCCCTGCCCCAGGCACTCTTCTCATCTCAGGTGATGCCAACTCCAACTTTCCAGTTGCTCAAGACAAGAGCTTTGGTTGTCATCCTTGGTCCCTCTTTCTCATGCCACATCTCATCTGTCAGGTGATCTGACTCTCCGCTCAGAACCCATCCCAAATTGACCACCCCATCCCCACTCACCCAACCCCTGCAGCAGCCCCCGCCTTGGTCTCCTTGCTCCTGCCTTCACCCACCTATGGTCCATCCTCCACTTACAGCCAGACCATGTTCCTCCTCTACTCAACTGTCTCATCAAGGCAGGAGCCTGAGTCCCAACAGTTGTAGCAACGCCATCCTAGGTTCACCCCTCATCACCTCTGTGATCCCACCTCCTCCTGCCACCCCCTCCTTGCTGGTCCTTGCCACCTCAGGCATGCTCCTAGCTCAGGGCCTTTGCCCTTGTTGTCCCCTCCACCTGAAACACTCCTTCTCCAGATGTGTGCATGCTTGCAGCTCATGTCTTCAGGTCTCTGCTTGAATATCCCTCTCTTCAGTGAGGCCTCCCCCAGCATATCTGTAAAATCGCCCCCACGCCCAACCCTGCACTCCCTACACCTCTCCTGCTGCAAATCTCTCCATAGCACTTGCCACCTGTCTACTGTCTCCTTACTTATCAATCTGTTCTTTGTCTGTCCCCCCAACAGGAATGTTGGCTTGTTGAGGGTGAGAACTGTGTCTGGTTGGGTCACCTCCTGTACCCAGCACCTAAAACAGTGCCTGTACTAATGGATGAGCCCCTGTCCTGCCTTTTCTTTTTCCCACTTCTGGGGGTCCCAAGTTCCCACTGACAGAATTTGATTTCCAGCAAAGAATTGGATGGTTTTCAAAGAACAAGCAAATGGGTATGTTAGTGGCGAAAATGCAGGCCAGTAGCTGCCGTTGTTCCAAAGCAGACGGTGAGTCCAAAGGTCAGGACTGAGCTCCAGACCTCCCACATCCACCATTAAGCACTCCTGAAGCCTGTGTGGACCATGCGACCCCCTCCCACGTGTGGCTGAGCTGGCATGTTCAGGTCTGGGGTGCAGCCCTGTATGGCAAGGCAGCAAAGGCCCTACCCATTAGTGCCCCCAATTCCATGGATGCACCAGTGCCCCTATGCACTGGCAGGCCATGTCAGTAACAAGGATGTAAAAGGGGGAGCGCAGAGCAGGAGATTCCTCACCCCAAGGTGGGGGCATCTGAGATGGGGCTGAAGACTTTGTGGAATCTAAGCCTTTAGGCTGGGGAAGGGGCACATAGGGGGAGATCGCAGCACAGCCAAAGCAGGGAGGTTATGATCTGCAGAGGCTACATAGGGAGCTCCGGCCTGTGTGACCCAGGCCCCTGTCCTGCTCCCCCAGCTGGGGCCCCCAACGTCGCCCACTTCACGGAGCCCCTCGTGGAAGCCACCATCATGGTGTATGCCACCATCACCTTCCAGCTGCTGCCTACTCCAGCCAAGTCCCACTACACCTTCAACCTCAGGGACCTCTCCAAAGTCTTCCAGGGCATGCTCATGGCCGACCCAGCTAAGGTCGAGGTGAGGACCCAGCAGGCCCCTCCCTAGTCCCACGCTGCCCTCCCTGCCCTCACTTCCTCCTGGGCCCCACCAATTCAGGTCTTCCTACCCAAACACTCCCAACCGTAATTCAGCCAGGCCCTGACTGAGCTGGAACACGCATGCACCGGGTCCCCAAGAGCCTGATCTTGTGGGTCAAACCGACACCGGGAATGGGGGCCATGAAGGGGGGTCACACCAAAGAGGGAGCAAGGGCAAGCCGAAGGAGAAAGAGGGTTTCTGATGAAGGCCGTGTGTGTGAGAAGATTTTGGGGGAGAGTGAGCAGGGTGCCCTCTGGGAACCAAAGACACGCAGGTGGGAGGAGCAGGAAGTGTGGGTGTTAGGTGCACTGGCCTGGTGGGGAGCAAGGAGCTTGGATTTTGTCCTGAGGGCACTGAGGAGCCATGGGAGTGGGTGGGGACAGACTTGCACTTTGGAATGGGACTGGATGGCCAGTGTGTGCAGAGCCCAGGGCTGAGGAGATGGGGCGAACAGGACAGAAGCTGGTCCTGGCCTTGATGAGCTTATAGCCAAAGGAGGCAAGAGAAGAGCCTGGGGGCTTCCTGAGGGTGGCCCAGTCACCCAGAGAGAGGCAGGGAAGCTGGGATGGAGTCAGCAGCAGAAACAGAGATGCAGAGTGTGGCAGATTCAGAGAAGATTTGCAAGTCAAGTCAGTGGGGTTTGGTGAGAAGTTAGAGGTGCGGTGTCAGGAAAGTATAAGGAGAATCAGACATCCCCCCTGGGTTTGGCGTTTGGGGGCTAAAAGGAGGAAGTGATGACCTTGAGGTGCTCGTGACCAGCTAGTGAAGCTGCGTGCCCAGCGGGCACTTGGCCACTGGGCCTGGAGCTGGGGGGTGGAAAAGCCCAGGCAGCACTGTGTAAGTCACCAGCCTTCAGTTCGTCAGCTGATGCACCTTCCCGCAGCCCCCACATGTCGCCCTGGCTGGGTCGTGGTAGAGAGCTGAGTCCAGGTCAGGGGTCCAGGAGCTGTGGCTCCTACCCACCTCCCACTTCTTCTGCTTCGAGTTGGCTGAGGGCCCTGGGGCCGAGGGCCGGCACTGATGCTGGGGTGGCTGCAGGACAAGGTGCAGTTGCTGCGACTGTGGTACCACGAGAACTGCCGCGTGTTCCGTGACCGACTGGTGAATGAGGAGGACCGCAGCTGGTTTGACCAGCTCCTCGAGAGCCACATGGAGCAATGGGAGGTGGCTTTCCATGAGGTCTGTCCCTTCCAGCCCATTCTCTATGGGGACTTCATGTCGCCAGGCTCTGACCTCAAGTCCTACGAGCTCATCACAGATGAGAATAAGGTGAGGGGCCCAGGCTGGTGCCCTTACCCTGGTGGGGTTCTCTTCACTGTGCCCCCCAGGGACCCAGGCCCTCTTTAGTCACTACTGATGGACCACCACACTATGACTAGAGGGTCAAGACACTAGGTTGGAAGGCCAGCTTGGTGACTTCAGGCAAGCACCTGGCCTCTGAGACTCTGGTTCCTCACCTGTCAAATGGGTGCTGCCAGCAGGCCCTACTTGGCTGTCTCTGAGAACAAGCCTGAGGTTCAGCTGAGACAGGCTCTGTCAACAGGGACATACCATGCCTGTTTGAGGGGTTGTCATCCACCTACAGGGGGGCAGCAGGGACCTTGGGGCCACGAGTCTCAGTCAGGACCCCAGGGAGGCAGGGAAAAGGCCTTGATCAGTGGCCTTAGAGCTGCATGGCTGACGTGGGCCTCCTGATGGTTTCTCTCCACACGTATTCTCTCCTAGTTCCCAGAAGTTCCCACCAGGGTCCCAGGGTCAGCATAGCCTGGGGAGCTCCAGAGGGAGCGGGCAGGGCTCTGACTCTGACCCTCAAGCCTTGGTGTGTCCAGTGGGTCACACCCCATGCAAGTGTTCCTGGCTTCTCAATGCCCAGCATCCACCTGTGCACAGGAGGAGCAGGGCCGCCTGTTAGGGAGGGCCCCGGCGCACAGTGCTCCAACCAGCTGAACCCATGGCTAGAGTCACCCCAAAAGTGGCAGCAGGGAGTTCCCGCAGGGGACTGCCCCAAACTGTCCCTAGATGGGGCTAATTGGGATTCCAAAGAAAGAAGCACTCAATGCCAGGTGGTCAATCCAAAGCATTTATTAGGGGAACTTACCTACTGGGGGGCAGGAGGGACCTGCAGCGAGACAAGAGATGTTCCACCTAGGTATGTCTGCAACGAGGGGCGTGGCTTATGGAGTTTATATAAGGGCTTGAGGAATTTGGCTGGGGGCGGGGCTCACTTCTAAGTATGTAGCAACATATTTGATCTTTCAGTGTTTTGAGAAACCTAAACAAGTTTATCAGTGCCTGGCAAGTTCAAGGCCCTGGCTTGGATTCAAATCTGCCAGAGAGAACATGTAGCTGGCCAGGTCACAGAGCAGTCAAGGCACTCTGTGTTTTTCAGTCAGGACACAGAAGGAAAGTGGAGGGGGAGGGGACTGCGGGACCCTACAGTAGGGGAGACCCATCCCTCCCCATGCCCCGCCCCGGTTCCCCAGATGATGCAGGTGATTGAGGAGTACATGGAGGACTACAACCAGATCAACACGGCCAAGCTGAGGCTGGTCCTCTTCATGGACGCCATGAGCCACATCTGCCGCATCAGCCGCACTCTGCGCCAGGCGCTGGGCAACGCGCTCCTGCTGGGCGTGGGTGGCAGTGGCCGCAGCTCCCTCACTCGGCTCGCCTCGCACATGTGAGGGTCCCCAGGCATGGTGGGCAGTGGGCGGCCGGTAGCAGACTCGGTTTGATGTATGCTTTTCCACAGTGGTGGAAGCCTGGGGCAGCCCTGAGGCAGACCCACCCGGCCCGTGGGCTTCTGGAAGGACTGGGAACAGGACGTGGGCAAGGAGAGGCAGCAGCAGTGCCCATGGTACTGTGGGGAGGGAGGTGTAGCTGCAGGCATCCGGAATGATTCCTAGGGAAGGTGGCCATGGGCTGCTCTCAGAATCAGATCTGGGAGGATGGAAGGGAAGAGCATTCCAGGCTGAGCAAACAGCACCAGTAAAGTCTGGAGGCAAGAGAACAAGTTCAGGGTCTGGAGAGTCTGCTTGTCTGCCCGGGATGGGAGCAAGACTCCAGATGGCCGAGTGGGGTGTGGGCACCCACCACCCCTCAATGCTTGGCCCAAGCCACTGGCATGCCTGACCCAAACTCCTGCCTCCAGGGCCGAGTATGAGTGCTTCCAGATTGAGTTGTCCAAGAACTATGGCATGTCCGAGTGGCGCGAAGATGTCAAGAAGGTCCTGCTCAAGGCGGGCCTGCAGAACCTGCCCATCACCTTCCTGTTCTCAGACACCCAGGTGCCACCGCCATGGCAGTGGGCAAGGCTCAGGGTGGGCTGGACATAACCCCATCCCAGCATGGTATCCTGGACAGTGGTCAGTTCTTCATGCCCAGCTCACTGTCAGTTGAGGCACATCTTAGAAGGGACCACTGGGAACAGGTGGGGCAGGTCAGGAACGTAGGGCCAAACCCAACCTCTCATAGCTAAGGGGCAAGGAGTGAACCCCAAGGGTAAAGCAACCCCAGTACCATGGCACCCCCCTTACTGGCAAAGGCTTCCCACCTCAAGGACTACCAGACCTGTGCTCCAAGTTCTGGGGACCCATGGCTCTCCTCAGGGACTGCTCCTTCTGGGACTCCCTGGGCATGAGGCTTCTCCTCAAGTCTGGGAGAAGGAGGGTTGTGCTCTGGGGCCACAAGATAAAACAGGTCAGGGTTGGGCCTAGGGGCCTACACTGAAGCCCCACAATGTGACACACCCTGGACACAGGCCCCTCTGCTTCCAGCTTTGCCCCAACCCCAGGGATCCCTTCAGGCAGCCACTGAGTTAGTCAGGAAAGTGAGGGTGCCCTCTGACACAGGCCAGACCCAGGATATATGAGATGGGCAAAGACCTGTCTCTGCCCGTGGTGATGGTTTCCTCCTGTGAGTAAACTGACGCATGGAGAGATGCCTAGAGAGTGAGGAGGAAGATGCTGCATTCCCCACCCAGGACCCAGGGCCCTGCCACAGCCCAGTGGCTATGTTCATAGCCCTGCAGTGGGGCAGGCCTGGGTTCAAGTCCTGGACTGTGACTATGAGGTCACTTATGGGTCACTTGTGTGACCCTGGACTTCTCTGAGCCTTAGAGGCATGGTCTGTAAAATGGGGCTATTGTGAAGTTCACATAGGGTCATCAAAAGGCATACCTCCCCCATCCCTCATCCCTCCCCAGATCAAGAACGAGTCCTTTCTGGAGGACATCAACAATGTCCTGAACTCTGGCGACATTCCCAACATTTATACTGCGGAGGAGCAGGACCAGATTGTCAACGTCATGCGGCCCTATATCCAGGAACAGGGCCTGCAGCCCACCAAGGCCAACCTCATGGCTGCCTATACTGGGCGTGTGCGCAGCAATATCCACGTGGTGCTATGCATGAGGTATAGGCAGCTGTCACCGGGCCATGCGAGGCAGCAGGGCTGGGCAGGTGGAGATGGCTCCAGGGACACTGGAGGCCTGGGTACTCAGGCTTGAGATGAGGAGAAAAGGCCCCAGACCTGGCTGTCTTGCCACTGGGGCCAGGCTGCTGTGCTGTTGCATCCTGGCTGCCATGCCACAGGGCTGTGGAAGGGCCCTGGGTCCTGGGTTCCTGGGGGTGTCAGTCAATGTCTTTGGGCCTCATTTGGATCCCCTGCCCCTAGCCCCATTGGAGAGGTCTTTCGAGCTCGCCTGAGGCAGTTCCCCTCCCTGGTCAACTGCTGTACCATCGACTGGTTTAACGAGTGGCCAGCAGAGGCCCTAGAGTCTGTGGCCACCACGTTCCTAAAAGAGATCCCAGAACTGGAATCCTCCCTTGAAGTAACTGAAGGACTGGTAGGTGTCTTGGTGAGGAGCATGCCCTTGGGGGGAGCTGTTTAGCATGGGTTCATGGCTACTGAGGCCTGGGTGAAAGTCTCAGGCCCGCCACTGACAGCAAGCCTTTGGTCAGACAGCTTTCCTGTCTAAGCCTCACTTTCCTCATCTGTAAAATGGGGAGTCCCACAGGTCATCAGTGATGCAGGAGGCTGGGCACGCTACCTGGTCGCTGTTACCCTTATCTCCTGAGGGCTTCATAGCAGCTTTCTTCTAAGAGCCCCCTGACAACTCCGGAGACCCCAGAGGGGGGAGGGGCTAGATTTCTCTGGTCCAACCTGAAAGAATGATGGTCACTGGGGGACTAACAGCTAGGCTGAGCCTGGCTCCTGAGGGCTTCATAGCAGCTTTCTTCTAAGAGCCCCCTGACAACTCCGGAGACCCCAGATGGGGGAGGGGCTAGATTTCTCTGGTCCAATCTGAAAGAATGATGGTCACTGGGGGACTAACAGCTAGGCTGAGCCTGGCATTTCCCTGCCAGCTGTGCTGAGGCCTTGGGCCCTCCTTCCCCCTGGATCCTGCCTCTGAGGGGGGTACTACCTTAGGGCTCTCAGGTCATGGGGGCTGTGACAAGGGCACTGGGCCAAGAGCAGGGAGACACCTGGGTCCACCTTCAAAGCCAGCCCTTCCCTTGACAGCTGTGTGAACTTGAACAAGCCCCTTGACTTCTCAGAGGCTTGGGTTTTTCATCTGCACAATAGGTGGCCTTGGCCTGGAGGTTGTGAGGCTCACAAGAGGGAGAGAGTGTGAGAGGCATTGAGGCTCCTGACATGGCTCCCTCCTTGGGACCAGGCTGCAGTGGCTTCGTGGGTGCCTGGTTCCCCGTGTTTGCTGCGGGCTCTACAAGGCCAGCATCAGTGGTCTCCCTCCTCACAGATTCAGGTTTGCGTGTATATCCACCAGTCGGTGGCCAAGAAGTGTGTCGAGTACCTGGCAGAGCTGGCCCGCCACAACTATGTGACTCCCAAGAGCTACCTGGAGCTTCTCAATATTTTCTCCGTCCTCATTGGGCAAAAGAAACTGGAGCTGAAAACCGCCAAGAACCGCATGAAGAGTGGCCTGGACAAGGTGGGTCTGGGTGAGGTCTTGTGGACAGCAGCTAGCTGCCTGTGGTTCTGCCTGCTCAGTCTTAGCCCTGATGCCAGGGCGACCCAGCCAGCCTTTCAAACTGCAGCCCACTGCAGTGTTTAAATGAATGGCTTCCTCCCTCACTGAAAGAACAAAAGTTGCTGGCCAAGGGCCAGGCCAAAACAGGGCATCCCACAGATTCTCAGGAGACAGACCCCCTTCCTCTGGGGTCCACTGCGGCCATAGAAGCTGCTGGCCTCTTGTGAATGAGGGCGGCCCAGCAGGGTCCTCTCCCCAGAGCCCTGCAGGCCCAGACTTCTCTCTGTCTCCATCTCACCTGTTTTCCTCTCTGTGCGGTCCTCAACCCTCAGCTGCTACGTACTTCTGAGGATGTGGCCAAGATGCAGGAGGACCTGGAGATCATGCGCCCCCTGCTGGAGGAGGCTGCCAAGGACACTATGTTCACCATGGAGCAAATCAAGGTTGGGATGCTCCCAAGCCCCTCCCTGATGCCTGACCCTGCCTGAGGATGCTCAGCGTCTCTGTCACAAGATCGCTAGCTGCATGGCCACCCCAAGTTTTTAGCTTCTCTGTGCCCCAAGCCCCTCCCTGATGCCTGACCCTGCCTGAGGATGCTCAGCGTCTCTGTCACAAGATCTCTAGCTGCATGGCCACCCCAAGTTTTTAGCTTCTCTGTGCCCCCCTTCCTCATTAACTGGTCATTCGTTTATTCAACAAATGTTTGGTCAGAACCTATTCTATACCAGGTACCGTGCTGGGCAGGGGATCAGTGAAAAGCAAGGCAGATGAATCCAAACAACCCCAAATAATTCTGATAATCACAACATGGATTGAGTGACAGGCCTGCCACAGGCATATGTGTAGGTTGTGCACAGCATGAGGGCCCGTATTTGAGGCGTGGTAAATAGACTCACAGATGTGTGTTCATTATGACAGATTTCTGGCAGAAGTAGTCAAGTGTCCTCCTCCACAAAGTCAGTGTATTGCAAAATTTTCCACCAGAGAGAAAGAAGCTGGAAGAAAGTTGGGGGAGCACTTTTCTCTGTTTTGCATAAAGATGCCCTGTGGGCTTCGGGGTCCCTGCTGTGTGGGGCAGTTATGCTCAACTGTGTAAACCCCTGAGCCCTATGCCAGGCCATGGTAAGCACTCAGGATGCGGAGGGGGCTCCTGGCATTCCCAGATCTCTATGGCCTGTCATATCTGAGAGGGCCCTTGGAGAACAGGCCATAATTTCAACCCTCATTTCCTTTCTTCTGGGGGGACTGGGATGCAGAGGGGAGAAATGGGAGGAGGGCATGCCTGTCCCTGCCACTGGCCACCCGTTGGGCTCTCCCTGTCCCCATCCCCAGGTGGATACAGCCATCGCCGAGGAGACCCAGAAATCAGTGCAGGCAGAGGAGATCAAGGCCAACGAGAAAGCCAGGAAGGCACAAGCTATTGCCGATGATGCCCAGAAGGACCTGGATGAGGCACTGCCAGCCCTAGATGCAGCCCTGGCCAGCCTGCGCAACCTCAACAAGAATGATGTGACTGAGGTGGGCATCTGGGTGTATCCTGGCACTCCCTCTTGTATCTCTCTCTGGTGTCCTCTTGGGTCCTAGTTCCCAGGCCCTTCCTCTGCATATGCCTTGGGGACCATGTGCCAAGAGGAGAGGGCAGAACTTGTCTAGAGCCCAGCTGCCTGCCCTGCCTTCCTTGTGCTAGCTCGCAGGGCCCAGGCGGGAGCACGAGCACCTGGGGGAGCAGGAGAACACAGGCTGAGGCAGACTTCAGATCTTTGGGTATGCCCTTTGTCTTGCGGTGGTAAGGACTTGGTTGGCAGGGCCCACCCTGTCTGGCAGCGTCCCTGCCCAGGGGTACCTACTCGGTGACAAGCCTCCCCATCCCCACCCATTGCTCGGCCCGCAGGTGCGTGCTATGCAGCGGCCACCCCCAGGTGTGAAGCTAGTCATAGAGGCTGTGTGCATCATGAAGGGTATCAAGCCCAAGAAGGTGCCTGGAGAGAGGCCAGGCTCCAAGGTCGATGACTACTGGGAGCCAGGCAAGGCGCTGCTGCAGGACCCAGGTCGCTTCCTCGAGAGCCTCTTCAAGTTTGACAAGGTGAGCATGCCAGGCACCCAGGCAGCCAGTGAGTGAGGACAGGACCCAGCAGGGCAGATAAGCCCTAGAGGAGCCTGCCCTACCACAACATCTGCACGTGCTGTGGTCTCTGTCCTGTCTCTCTTTGCCCGCCTCACCAACACCAGCAATACACATGGTTGATTGGGACCAGGGCTGGCCCCAAAGAGCTCTTAGATCTGAATCTTGGCCACATCCTCAGAAGTACCCACCAACATATGAGTATTAAGAAATTATGACCTGGGCATGCTCCTGTGTCCCTTGGATGTCACCCAGTCACTCCAAGGCTCCACAACCTGGAGATTCTCTTTCTTGCCCTTTCCTTTCTGCAACCCCATGGCCTTGGCCAAGAACTTCACCATCTGCTCAGTTATCACCTCTCTCCCTCGGCCTCAACACCTGAGTTTCAGCTTCCCCTATGTCTCTCTGGGTTTCTCTGTATATCTGTCCATCTGGGACTCTGAGTGTTCAGGGGCATGTGCTCTCTCAGGGGCTGTGCCATGATTAGGTCAGTCTGGAGCCCACAGCATCCTTGGAGGGCCCCTCTGCGACACAGAAATTGGCTAGGAGGGGCCGGCCCGGTGGCGCACTGCTACAGTGCGCTGCTTGGGAGTGCGGTGGCTCTCCCGCCGAGGGTTCGGATCCCACATACAGACCGGCTGC